AAAAATTCTCTCTCTCTCTCTCTCTCTCTCTCTCTCTCCTCTCTCACTCTCTCTTAAAAAAAAAAGGCCTATGAATAAAAGTTAGTGGTTGGGCACCCCTAGGTTAAATAACCTGGTATAAAAAAATAAAACTTTGGTCAATATATGAGATTTTGATAGGACCATTTTAATAAGGATAACTTAGGTTATCTGTTTATATGCTATTTTTGTCCTACAGCATTATTACATGGACTAAAGTACAAACAATGCAGTTCATCTATAATTTTTTCTAAGTAAGGTTCAAAACATACAGTTTTACTTTTTGAATAAACCCCCATTCCTTTATCTCAGCTATAGTAATAAAAAATATTAATTATTTATTTTGGTATTATAATTTTAGATGAATCAAAATTATCAACATTCTAAGTAAAAATGAACCAACCAAAGATGATAATGATAATAAATACTTATTGAGTACCTAGTATGGTACAGGCATTGAGTTAGTATTATGAATATTATATGTATGATATATATATATATATATACATATAATATTCATAATATTATTATTTTATAATTATTATACATAATGCTATTAATATAATATACATAATTTTATATATATATATATATATATATATATATATATATATATCTGTGTGTGTGAGTATGTGGGTGTGGGCGTGTATCCTCATTCAATACTCATTCTGAAAAAACATGTCCATGGAACCATCAACACCAAATTGTCCTACTGTGCCCTGAGAGGATGAGAGGTAGGGATAAACAAAATTTATCATTTACATTCTGACAGAGAGTGAAAAATGAAGGAAAATAGCAGCAATGAATTTTTTTTTTTTCAGGGCCACAAGCAAGACAGACAGAACCAACATATGCATGCAAGCAACTCTACTGATTCCTGGCAAATTGCTCTTTCCACTGTTCTATTCCCTTAGCATACAAGTTAAAGAAAAAACAAAAAAGAACAATTCAGTTTCCCCTTGTTTCCATGAGAGCTTTACGGTTTTAAGTCCCAAAAGAAATGCAATAAAATGGCAGTTTGGTTGAAATAATACTGATAATAATAACATCAATTAGTTATTATTTATTAAACACTATGTGTCTACATAAAACTTATTCCATTATCACAATTACTCTGTATAACCATTTTACTTCTGGTAAAACTGAGATTCAGCCAGACCAATAATTTATTACAGATTGCCCAGCTTTTGTAGAGATTACACTTTCAGATACACATTAAACAATTAAAAAAAAAATGCACCATGGCCACCAATAAAAACAACAAGTGTTAATAGTTTTGTGGATTACATTCCCATATATGAGGCATTTTACGTTGCATTTGCTTTTCTCCACTGTTTCCTTTTTGGAACTGATAACAGAAGTGATTGTTTATTTCTTATTCATTGAAGAATTGAAATTGGCTTTTGTTCTGGGAACACTAGAAAGATGAATAAGCAAACATGTTCACCTTTGAATTAAGTATTAACACCATATTCTCATGAAATGAAAAAATATCATGATTTTTGTCACAAAATTTGAGGGAATATTGTCTGAATCCTCTTCCCTGTCCCTTCCTGTTTCTGATGATATTTCTATCTCAGAGATACCTGCATTATTCAAAATAGGTTACTGTCACTTACAATCAATAAAATAGCTAAATGTAGTCTTTTTAATTGTCCTGAGTTTCTCAGTATCAGATACCTACCTCAAAGAAACTCTTTCAAAGAGTGGATGTTTTCAGAATAAATGCAATTATGGCATTTGCCAGTGAATGGATGGAAATAGAGAATATCATGTTAAGAAAAACTAAACAAATTCTGAAACTCACAGATTGAATGATTTCTCTCTATGTGGAAGCAAGAGTAAATTAAAGGAAAGGGGGAGAGAAGGATAGGATAACAAAGAACCAATCAAATGTAAATTAATAGAGTGCTGAAAGGAAGTCTAGAAGAGGAATGAGAAGGGAAACAGGAGGGAGGGCAGGAGGGAAAAGAGGGGATCAGGAACTGAAATCAATTTCCATGTATGTATGACTTTGTTGGGATGCACCCTAATATTATGTATAACTATAAAGCTCTAATAAAAACAAAACAAATCAAGATATGGCTAATGGATTTTACCCAAAGGCCAATCTTGATCAGAAAAAAAAAATAGTGGATGGATGCTGGACTGTGCTAATTCTCTAAAAGAGTTTAAAGATTGTCAATATGTGCAAATTAGAGAGAATATTGTCAATTGTTATATGTCAATTTCACTTCCCAATCTGTCCCAAATTAATTCTCCCAGTTTGGCAGCTCTTGATTTAAATTTCTAACCTCCCAGATATTAGAATTTGTAGGGATAAAAGAGAATATCTGAAACTTGTTTCAGTTGTAGAGAGAAAAATTCAAAGCAATGATACAGAAGAATATGTATTTTTTCATTGCAACTAAAATGTAAACAAAGTACTGAATTTTATTCTGGGGAATTTAGGAATACTGAAGAATTTTAAATCTTTCCTGAATGATATAGATCCTTCAAAAATTATTTACTTCATTTCACAGCCCAGAGAATCATCTTCACTTGTCCACTTCACTTTATATTATGTATTAATTTCCCTCAAAATGGCAATTGGAACATCATAAAAATGATAAGATAAATGCTCTCTTGATTTCCACATTTCTTTGCTTTAGTTTTTTTGGAAATTCATTTGTATTTAAAATATATTTATATGGAATAGTTTTGGGGAAAATTCAGTCTGCTCACATATCCCTCCTGCCATAGGTCTTCATCTACTCAGAAAGGCTAGTGGAAGGACAGGAACAATTGCATGTCACCAGGAGGGTGGATTGTTTAGAAAATCAACAAAGTTTAAAAGACACTGAAAGAACAGGTAAATTTTGTGTAAGAAGGAAGGGAAGCATAGGCATGGTCAAAGGATCAGGAATCAGGTACTGCTGTTTTCTAATCCCTCAATTTGAAGTATTGTTTAAGGTTTATTTTCTATACATGGGAATCAAAGTCACGAGTTTATAGAATAGTTGTCATCTGAGAATTTAGAGTTAGGGAGCCCGCTATAAATAAAAATAATCCTGTGCTTATCCTTTCATCCTTGCAGAATTGAAACTGAGACAAGGCATATGATTCAGTTTAACAAGTATTTTTTTTTTAAGCTTTGCTATGCACCAGGAATTTGCAGGCACTGGAAATAAATAAAATAGAATTTTTCCCATCAAAGAACTCTTAGCTTATTGAAAGATACAAGAAAGAAAACAGAGAATTACAGTCTAGTATGATATATTTCTTTAAAAAGGTAAGTGAAAGGGTGTTATGGTCACACATCAGAGGAGCCTCTAACCAAAACCATATCAGTAAGAGAAGACATCTAGTAAGAAGAATAATCTGCATTGTGTTTTTAAAGATGTATAGAAAGTTAGGTAAAGAATTTTTACACAAATAACTATGAAGCTAGAAACTCAAACAAACTTAATACTGATAATTAGTGATAGTTTTTTGAGGTTACAAAAATATAATTTTACTTCCTATCACTTAAAATAATCTGCATTTTGAAGCTCCATTCCTCTAGTACAGAAGTATAATTGGTGTACTTTTTATTGATTTTTTCAAAAATAAATGAGAACGGACTGCATTACAATTCTTATTACACATATAGAGCACAATTTTTCATATCTCTGGCTGTATATAAAATATGTTCACACCAATTCGTGTCTTCATACATGTATTTTGGATAATGATATCCATCACATTCCACCAAGTGATAGTTCATTTTCACGGTTTAGTCATAATTTACAGAATACTCTAATATTTGTATTTTTCTTCTCACTCTCTAGTGTACAGAGGCTTCTGGACGATCTTTATTATACTGGGTATTGGTTCTGGTCTGGCTGGAGGATTTCTGCTGGTGTGTGGTATGCCCTTTGCCAATGCTGGATGTTACAAAATTGGAGGTGGCTTTCTGATGATATCAGGTATGTAGTAACTATGAGGACAAATTAATAACCAGAAAACTCTTTGTGTATGTGTGTGTGTGTGTGTGTGCACACACACACACACAGCGCACGTGCATGTGCATGTGACAGAGAGTGCACATGTGCATGTATGCATGTTTGTCTTTATATAACTTTTGCATGAATAGAAACTATACTAATAAGAAATAAAATGTAAATGAATAAATGCTGATGAGTTTGATATGTGCCCTAATATAAACTGTGCATAAAAATTTGTTGTTTTTTTTCCAACATATGTGAAATTTTACTTAGTGTTGGTGAGAAATATCATGTTTAACAACTTATTTACCTATTTCTAAAATCCTGATTTTTGGTTCCCCCCTCTAAACAGGTGACATATTGAAACATTTAGAGCCTCCTCCAATTATTTATTTATTGGCAGTACTATTCTGTAGTGAGCCGTTTCTGTGTACTGTGGCCGCCATTACAAGATGGCGCTGATAAGCGCCGTGGCCTGTGATAAACAACTCCTTATTTTGCGAGAGTTGGCACGTAGCTGTAAAACACCCTATGAGAAAGATCCACGTGGCAGTTGTGCATTGGGGCTTTATCTGCTTTATTAGGGCTGGGGCACGTAGCAGGAGTAGTAGTAGTAGGAGTAGGAGTAGGAGTAGTAGTAGGAATAGCAGTAGAAGTAGTAGTAGGAGTAGTAGTAGAAGCTAGAAGACATGTCAAAAAAAGGCCTGAATAAACTGCTGAAGGAAGAATCCTGTGTCGTGTTTCCTTTGCTGGCGAGGGGACGCGGCACTATTCAGTGTATAAGATAGATTTTAAGATGACTTTATTATGGGTAAAAATAGAATTTTTGGAAAATAAAACATGTTATATAAAGAAAAATATACAGGGGTGTTGTGGCTCAGTCGAACAGTGCTTGTCCCACTTGTGTGAGGCCCTGGGTTCAATCCTCAGCACCACATAAAATAAATAAACAAAATAAAGATATTGTGTCCAACTATAACTAAATAATATTTTATACCTTTATTTATTTATTTATTTTTATGTGGTGCTGAACCGAACCCAGTGCCTCCTACACTAGGCAAGCACTCTACCTCTGATCCACAACTCCAGCCCACTAAATAATATTTTTTAAACAGAAAAATATACAGTGTATTCTGACTCCTTAATAGAGCGATATACTCTCCTACATGCTTCCTTTCATATGACTAAAATGAACTATCTTATACATTGATTATACAATTAAGAAAAGAGTGCTTTACATACAAATAAATTTGACATAAATTAAACTTCTAATATTTAGCCAAAAAAAACTCCTCAAAATGTTAGGAAGCATTTTATTTTTTACTATATTCATATTTGCTTTCCTTGTATTGATGAAACTTTGGTGTTTTAACTTTAATCATTTTATTTTTATTTGTAAATATAGAAAACTATGAAAAATTGGAAAGCAAAGGCCACCCATAAACTCACAATCTACAGATAACCAATATTAATATTTTAATGTGTGCTAATTGAATATATTTCTTATATATATTTATTTTGTTAAAATATTGTGGGGATTATGCCAAATATTAGTAGTTAAACATCAGTTGTGTCTAATATTATCATTAATCTTTGTAACATGATCTTTTATAGCAGCATAATATTCTACCATTTATTCTTATCATAATTTATTTTATTTTCTGGTACTGTTGATAGAACTCAGGAGAGATTTACCACTGGGTTACATTCCACGCCCTTTTATTTTTTTATTTTTTGAGGCAGAATCTCACTAAGTTATCCACACTGGCCTTGAACTTGTAATCCTCCTTAGTCTTCTGAAGTGCCAAAATTACAGACATGCATTATCACACCTAGTTCTATCATAATTCATCTTACATTTACCTCTTTTTTGGAGATTTGATTTGTTTCCGTTCATTGCTATTGTATTTGCAATAATAAATGTCCCTGTATACTGTTTCATGAAACAAGTTCTTATTAAGCACTTACTAGGTAAATGATGCTGTGAAAGCTATAGGATAAATATTGATTGAAAAATCAGGTAAAGTCCCTGCTGCATGGAATTTAGAATCTGGTCAAGAGATAGACAAAAATAAGTAAATAAATGTGTAATTAAAATTTTAATAAGTTCGATGAAGAGAAAATAATAAGATTATGGAGACCAAAATATTGATAAGAGGTACTATTTTGGATGAGATAGATAGGGCAGGTATTTATGAGGAGGTAATATTTACATTCAAGCTGAATGTTGGAATGGGACAGACATGGGGACAAAGTCTCTCTCTCTCTCTCTCTCTCTCTCTCTCTCTCTCTCTCTCTGTGTGTGTGTGTGTGTGTGTGTGTGTGTCTGTGTACTTGGAGGCATGGAACACAGTGCACATTGTGTGGAGAGTGCTAGAAGAAACAAGCAGAATTATGGGGAGACCTTAAGGTGGTGAAGAAAAACTCGAAGATATTCAGTATATATAGAGTTTAGGTGTAAGTGGGTAGAGTACCATGAAATAAATTTCACAGAGTCATCAAAAGGTAGATAAACAGTGCTTTTTTACAGATCATGGTCAGGATTTTTCATTTTTTCTCTATTTCCATGAAAAGTCATTAAATAGTTTAATCAGAAGAGGAATATATTTTGATTTTCCTGTAAAATATCATTCCTGCTGCTTTGTGATTAAATAGTTGAAAAAAACAACAAAAAACCATTAGAATGATCTGATATAAAGGTTATAGTGGCATGGAGTAGAGAGTGGCAATAGAGAAGTAAATAATTTTAAGATATATTTAAATTTTAGGTGAACATTATGAATCATATATACACATACACATATTGGAACCAATAGGACTTGTGAGATACAAATGAGATGAGGGAAGACATAGGTTCATGAGAGAGTACAATTTTTGTGTACATCACTGATTATTTTATATTACAAGTTTAGTGAAAGAAAATGTATATGTTAAGGTTCTTACTATCTAATTGTCTCACCAAACTTATGTGATAATATATTTATCTCATAATGTATATATGATGTTTTCTGAAATCTTGACATTTAAATCATTAATTTATTATGCTACTAATGTCCCAAAATAATAGTAGATAATTTATATACATGTATATGTGAATTAATTTTCAGTTTTTTCCATATTTAATACATAATAGCCTGCTAATACAATCTTCTCTCTTCTCTATGCATTTACAAAATTGTGTGTATTTCTCAAGTTTCAAAGTACATCTAACCTTCCCTCATGAAGTCTTATCTCCACAATATTTTAATTTCCTTTAGGATGGAAGTCTGGTGTTATGTTATCTATCTGCTATACTGTCTAATTCAACACTGAGTATAAAATACATTAACTGATTAGTTATTGTCTTGTTGAAATTTGGTTTCTTTGAATTCATGGCTTATAATACAATGGTGGTCCCATGAAATAATGAAATGAGACCTTACAATTTATTAATGCTTGTTCTTAGAGACATATACCCAGAAAAGTTCTATAATGAACAATTATTTTTTTAATTTCTATTTTTGTATTTTTGATATTTTTATTTGTTCTTTTATGCATGAAAGTAGAAGTGTATTTTGACATATCTTACATACATGGAGTATAACTTGTCTTTTTTGTGGTTGTACATGATGTGGAGTTACACTGGTTGTGTATTCATATATGAAGATAGGAAAGTCATGTCCAATTAATTATACTATCTTTACCATTCCCATGCCCCTTCCCTTACCCCCATTCCCCCTGTCTACTCTGGTGAACCTCCATTCCTCTCTCTCCACCCCACCTATTATGAATCAACATCCATATAGCAGAGAGAACATTCAGTCTTTGGTTTTGGGGATTGGCTTGTTTCACTTAACATGATAGTTTCCAGTTCCATCCATTTATCAGCCAATGCCATAATTTCATTCTTCTTTATGATTGAGTAATATTTCATTGTGTATGTGTTCCATATTTCTTTATGCATTCATCTATTGAAGGTCACCTAGGTTTGATCCATAGTTTAGCTATTGTAAGTTGAACATCTATGAGCATTGATAGGGCCATGCCACTATGGTATGTTGATTTTAAATCCTTAGGGTATATGCTAAGGAGTGAGATAACTGGTTTCATTCCACGTTTTATGAAGAACCCCATACTGCTTTCCAGAGTGGTTGCACCAATTTGCAGTCCCATCAGCAATGTGTGAGTATGTCATTTTCCCCACTTCCTTGCCAACATTTATTGTTATTTGTATTCTTGATAATTGCCATTCTGACTGGATTGAGATGAAATATCTGTAGTTTTAACTTCCATTTCTCTAACAATTAAATTTTTAATTATATGGTATATGCCAAATTATATAATGTTATGGTTAATTATCTAAAAACACTGATAACAATAACAGTAATTTATTGATGTGTAAGAACATGATGGGTAAGGATAGAAATACCATGAGATATTAGTGGAGTGAGAGATCATTGTGAGTGAAGATGGGTAGCAAAATCACTGTGGTGTGCCTCAGTCTGGCTGGGCACAATTCAGGAGCTACTTGTCAAAAGAAACGAACTTTATTTTTAGAACACACACACCACACCACACAGCTCCTCAGGAAAAACCCTCAGAGCCCAACTGCCACCACTGGCTTCCCACAAACCTCTCTACCTCCCCCACTCCTCCTGCTCTTGAGGCTGATTGGCTGGGTCGCATGGGCGGAGTCAAAAAAGTCCCCCAATGAGCAGCTCCGTGGTCTGAAAGGGAGGGGAAACAGCCCAATGAGCATCACCGCAGAGGAGCCAATCAGTTGGCCGCTGTGAGCCAATCATCAGCTGGCAGCTGGAAGTTTGCTGGCAGCTGGAAGTTTGCTGGGACCCCTTCGGCTGTGGCTCTCAACAGTGGTGGAGGTGAGACATTTTCAAGATGATTGAGGTACATGGTAAGGTGAGAGAGTATTCTACAGGCAGGAAGGCTTGTGTTTCACAGGTGGTAATGTAGAAGCACTTGAAAGAAAATTAAAAATGCTTCCA